TTCTGAACTCTCCGCTGGCAAGTGGAGCCGACAGGCGAGAGGCGAGCGCGCTCGTGCGTGGTGCCCAAGACACTGTCGGCCAGGGGATCGACTCCCGGTCGGGGCGAACATTTTGATTAGTTTTTGGGGGGGGGGGGGTGCTGAGTAGGCGGTCAAGTCTACATCCACATGTCGGCTGGTCTTTTGTCCTTACCCTTGGTCCCCACCCTGTAAACCACTAAATAGGAAAAAATGAGCTTCGGTCAGTATTCGTACCCACGACCATCCGCGTCCCGGGCGCGCGCTCTACCAACTGAGCCAATGAGACTTCTGCAAAGTTGAAGCTTGAGAGTGGCTCACACCCCGAAACATATGGCTGGCAGAGGGGCAAAAGGGTTCCCTCCCTCGACTAGATTCGAACCAGCGACTGTTTGCGTACCGGCCCATCACATCAGGTGTGGCACGGGCGTAAAGTCATGGCCAGCGGAGCGCGAAAAATATCACCCGGCCGAGATTCGAACCCGCGACCATGTTCATACCGGGCCCGGACGCTACCGACTTGCCCACGACGGAACGATAGAGCGCCATTTTCTGCGGCATCCAGATCTCAGCTGTGACTGACCCCCGAAGACACTTGGCCAGCACAGCAGGAAAAATGATCGCGGACGGGATTAGAACTATCGACCATGGCCACGGTCTGCCAACGAGCACGCTTTAACACGCTCGGCTAACAGCTGGCTCCTCCGGGACCGAAGTCTCAGCTCGGTCCTGCCTGACGGGAGACAAAAAGCGACAAAGAAAAAATTCGCCCCGCCCGGGAGTTGATCTTAGGGCCGACAATTTTGGTTCGGATGAAGCTGCATGCGGTCATGTCGACTGTAGCTACAACTGTTTAACTACAAAAGGGGCGTGTGGCTGGTGGCGTCGGACATCGTTTGTTGCCCCATTTGGGACCACGTGTTTGTGACCACTTGTCGCCGCGACACGAGTTGTCGCTTGGACGCCTGCGAGGTAAGCCACGGCTTCTCTCTAATGCGTCTGTCGTGACGAGGACTTTGGGTTTAGGCTCGTTTTGACCCCAGGCCCATAAATCCTTTCTAAAGCGAAGAAGTGACGCCGTGTCAATCTAGGCGGGGGTCGATGACAGTCACTGAAAACGCCTGGAGGGTGGGCAATTCTTTCCTGAATCGGGGCCCCGCGGCCCCCTGTCCCTCCGAGCGCTTGGACAAGGCGAGAGCTTCGGAGAGGCATTGATATCTTTCGTTTTCGCTTTAGTTCTTAGTGCTGTTTATACTTCTGCTTGATATTCTAGCATTGGAGGAAGTAATGAATTCGTCTATAGACTGTTCAGTTTAAGCTGACTCGGGCACTGTCGGCTGTAGCTACAACCGTGTTGCTACAGACAGGGGCGTGTTCGGGGTGCGGGGCGGGGCGTGGCGGGGCGGGATAGGCCAGCCCGCCGGCCAGCCGCGCCCGGCGGGTCTGCCTACCCGGCAGGCGTTCTCGCGGGCAGGCGCCTGGCGACCAGCCCGACGCACGCCTCGGCGGCCAAACATCAACAAGGGCGTAACTCTGCGGCGAGAAGCTGCCGTTGTAACTGGCGCCGCACCTGCTGCGGGGTGGGGCGGGGCAGGCGGGAGCCGTGCAGGCCGCGTGGGATTAAGTTGGAGCAGCTAGCATGCCTCGGCCCCACCACGCACGCTGCTGCATGCGCCACCCACCACGCCCCGCCACGCCTCGTTGGAGCGAGAACCCGGCAGTTTGCGCTCCGGAAACCCGTCCGGACTGTATGTTGCGGAATTCTTTGGGTGCGTGGGCGGCATGCATCCCCCCTTGCTGCTGCAGCTGCAAAGGCAGTGCAGACCTGTATCGAAAATTAGCATACGCAGCGTTCTCTCGCTACAACAAGGTATCGAAAATTAGAACAGCAAAGTGTTCCCTTCTTCGGCTCCCTTGTTTGGCCCGTGCCCCCCCCCCCCCTTGTGACGTCGACTCTGCTCCCGGTTACCGCCCAAATAGCTGACTGTGCTGCTTGGCGTAGCGTTGCGTGGCCGGGTGCGAGTGGCGTGCCAAAGTGGCCTCGGTAATTCAGTCTTGGATTGTACGTGCCGAATGGGTCCGCCGACACCCAGCTACACCCCGCCACCACACCCCGCCCTGCGCGACCTACCCCACGACCCGGGCCCCGGCGACCAGGCGCGCGACCCACCCCAACAGCTCCGTCCCTCTCTTGTATACCGACCTGAAGCCCGAGGGCAGCTGCATCTGCGGGTAGCGGCTCTCGGTCATGTACTGCGTTGCCATGGCGAGGCGGCCACCTGCCAACAGAAAGAGAGCACAGCGATAAACCTTTGATGAACGTCCAGTTCGCAGCAGAGCTGGCCTGACGGAATCAGTTGTGGAGGCCTCTTCCTGTGGCCTTTTAGCGTTACGATCCAACAGCAGAACCTGACGGGGATCATCCAGATCCACAAAGTACGTCCCGTCCGACATTCGCTTTGCGAACCTGCCAAGTTTCAGCCCAAGCAAGCTCTTATAGCGCCTGATGGGAAGGCAACATCTTGTCTGCAGTGCATACGTGTACTGCGGGGTGGCCTACCTCGACTCTCGCAGGCGCCGAGTACCCTCTGATTTGCCGAATGAATCTGAGAAAAATGGACATACTTTCTGGACTCGCAGTGCCTAAAGGTGTTCATGATTGGGGTAAACCCGAGGGTAAACCTGTCGATATAGTAACGTTGGCACTTTGAGCCCAGCAGCAGCCCAGGCCGGTCTTGGTGCTCTGCGTGCTGCTCCGCTGCACTACGAGTAGCTTATCTTGCCGGGGAGGTGGAGCTCACCAAGATGTGCCTGCGGCCCTGCGGCTCAAGTGGACCAGTGCGACGGGCGGTAGTGACGGGGGGGGGGGGATATCCACTCGGGAGGGATGGGGAAAGCTTCTCCATCGGGTTGCTGAGAGGAGATTGCGGCTTGCATGTGCCCGGGCCGGGCGTTCTGTCCGACAGTCCGCTGACGGACGGCTTGATCCGGAGCCGCCCCCGCCTTGCCCCGCTCCGCCTCGCCCGCCCGCCCCGCCACGCCACGCCCCACTACGCCTCGCCGCACTTCCCTCCGGGTGGTTGTGGAACGGGATGTGGCAGCCTCACCAGCTTCACCAGCTTCACCCGGCCCGGCGGTCCCCCGGCCCAGGGGCCCCAGGGGCCCCGGCAGGGCTGGGGCTCCAATCATTCGGGGAAACTCGCTCACAAAGGAACTCATTTACGCGTCGAGTCGAGGTGCTGAGAGGAGGAGGAGGAGGAGGAGGAGGAGGAGGTGGCGGAAGGAAGGAAGAGGGGAGAGGGAGGGGAGGGTGGCGGAGTGGCGGGACCTCCCTCCCGCGCCCGCTCCAGCTCCGGGCTATGGGCCACGCCGCGTCGCCCCGCCGCACCCCGCAACCCGCCGCCCAGAGCCGAGGCGGCGGCTCGAGCCTCAGGCCCAGGCCCCAGTGGCGGTGGGGCACAGATTGACGACAGGAGTACAGAGTGCCTGGCCCCCGGCAGCGGGCCGGGGCGGGGCCGGGTGGGCGAGGCCTGGAGAGAGGCCGTTTATATCCGAGGCTGAGCCGCTGCTCGCGGCCGCCGGTCTGGTCGGGGCCGGGCTGGCTGGGCCGTGCACAGGATAAAGAAACAGGAACAGCGGCCCGATCCGGGCCCGGCGTGGTGGTAGATGGCTTGTCTGGAACATGATGTTGTGGAGGGGTGGCTATGTTCATTGGGCGCTTGGCGCTTGGCACAGGCACGGGCGGTTGTCGGCCTGAGATAGCCGCCTGAAAGGTGGGCAATCGGATCTGCAAAACCCAGCCAATTTGTCTAGGTAACTTGTTCTTCGCCGCCCCCTTTGTCGGGCGGCCCTTAATAAGCATTATCGCGTTCCCGAAGTGGTACCATTACCATTATCGAAGCTGGAAAGGCTCGAATGTTACATACAGGGTTGGTTGTCCACAGGGGCGGGGTTGCATGATATTCGTAAGGTGCCACGGTGAGCAACGTAGGCAGGCCCGCCCGCACTCCTAAATGTGGTACAGTTTGAGCAAACAAATAAAGAAAAGGGTCTGTGGACCGCCCTTCTCAACACCGGCCACAGCAACCGAGGGGGTAGGTGTTGCAACAGCTATTCTCTAAATGGGGAGAAACGATTTCGTCCACAAAAAGCGACTTTTTTGAGAAGGTTAAGCACGTTTAATCTCATATTTGATACAAGTTTTGTCACTGGCACTTCTTGACAACGTGTTTTCTTCTTTGAGGGTAAAATTGTAGTGCTACATCCAGAGTGTGCAGGACGTAGGGTCGGTGACGTCGCCAACGACCCTGTGACCGCATAGCCCTCAGTGCGGTGGTTTTAATGGCATGTTGTGTTCGGTGTCTAGTATCTGTGTTTACAAACGTGAACAGTTGAAAAGTATTTTGCGGGACGACGACCGAACTACACATGCTCACTGTCAGGACTGCCAACACCAGCCAAAAGCGGCGACGAGTGGGGGTGGGGGCCTAGCAGCAGTCTTTGTGTTTGTAGTTACTATTGTCGCCGACTCGTATTGTCGGGAGTTTGCAGGCAGAGCTCTGGCCCGGCCCCGGCCTGGCCGCCCCGGCCTGGCCGCCCCGGCCTGCTCCGTGTAACACTCTGCCCCCGCGTAATGGAGTTGTATTGTCCTTTTAATTTCGTAGCTCCACCCGCGGGCCGGAGCCGAGCCGAGCCGAGCCGAGCCGAACAGAGCCGAGCAGAGCCGAGCCGAGCAGAGCCGAGCCGAGCCGAGCCGAGCCGAGCAGAGCAGAGCCGAGCCGAGCAGAGCCGAGCCGGCGGGGATATCGGGGCGACCGCTGCAAGATAAAGTGCTGGGCGCTGCTGGGGTGGGTAGGGTGGAGGACACAGGACCTGGTGTGGCTGGTGGGGCCGACCGGAGGGCAACCGTCCCCATGCACTGCCGTGCAGCCGAAACCCCACCACGATGAATGGGTTTACGATTCACAATCACCGGCAGCATTGATTTCTACACTGCAAACCCGAGTGTTGACTTATCATCTGTACAGGGAAGAGCCATAGTCTGCAATAGAGGGACACAGGATGTGTCCAGAAATAGGACACCTATCCTTTAATGGAATGGGCCCTGGTGCACTGCCTTGAACAGAGTAACCTAGGACAAGGGTCTCACCACAAGGTATCCAGCAGCTGTGCGTGTACCTTAGGTTATGTCGCACAGGCTCTAGGGTCGCGTGCTACTTAAGTCACACGGTTGCTGAACAGGAACACCCTTGATTGACAGTGTAATTTGATTTCGATTGGTTTTTGGATTATGATGTTGTACGTTCATCATTGGGATTTATCATTGTGGTGATGTTATTCATTCGCTTCCGTTCGCTTGTGCCATTCCTTATCGTCTTTTTCCTCGTTATGATTCAAATTCCATCCCCTTTTACGGGTACTTTATTTCGGCACGGCAAACTCCCTCTCCCCCTTTTGTCCTCTTTTATTTTTGTTCATTCATTTCTCTTGTCCTTTCTTCTTCTCCCTCCAGCTCTCGCCTACTCTCCGGGATTGAGAGGGTCAATCCGAGCCGGGGACGCAATTATAACTGATGAGCGGGTGGGCCACCCCCCCCCCACTTCACTCCATCCCACTCACTTACCCTCCACTTGGGCCGCCCTTCAACACCGGACTGCGCGCGACAGAGCGCGGCGGCGGCGCCGAGCGCTGCGTGGCGACAAGGTGAAGGGAGAGAAAGGAGAGGAGGAGAAGGAGGAGAAGGGGGAGATCCCATTAGGGCGACAAAGTGCTTCAAACCAGCTGGTTGCATGGCAATGCGTTTCTTACATTTTCCCCCTCATTTTTCCGTGTCGTGTCGGGAGTCGCCTCGCTTATAGCACCTGTAGCGAGCTATACACCGGTCCCCCACAGCCAGCCAGACTTTATAATCTAGCAATCATGTTCAAATCAGTTCATGATAACCAGTCAGAATATGAGGGAAAGAAAGAGGAAATAGGGTGACGGAGAAAGAGGGGGAGGGGTTGCGTTTGCATGCAGCGGGGAGGGAGATGGGGTCGCCACTGCGTCACCCAGGTGCAAAGCCCCTCCCTCCCCTCCACCCCCTTCACTCTGACGTGTCAGTCTGCATTGCCCCGCCAATAATCTGATTTGCATGTAAATCTCGTTGCAGCTGGGGTGGGCTTCCGACATGTTGCCTCAAGGGGTGA